AAACAGGTCAGAAACCTGGCCTACGCTACCCCAGAACGTCAAAAGACTTTCATTGTCTGGCCTTCGATATCTTCGGAGCATTGGCCGAGTCTAGCAGAAAAACCGAGACAGTAATGCTGAAGTGCGTTGAATGGTTTTCGGAAGAAATAATCCATCCATGGTAGATGAACTGACCATATTTCATAGGTTGTACCGAATTGGTCACGTGTTGACGTAGGACATTCGGCTGTCCTCAATAAACGGTTGTTTTTAACGCTACGCGAAGGGTTGAACCGAATCAGGGAGGCCAAAGATTGACTTGTCCGCAAAGTATGAAAGCCATTATCAGCAAACCCAGATGCACTGGTCGTTGTCGGCCTTCTGGATGGGGACCTTGAGACGGGACACATCAATAGTTAGAAACATTGTGGAACATTGCCCAGTCGTGCCATTACTTTTGCTCGTGATCCAAGTTATTGGCTTTAATGCATGGCACCCCTAGTAGTCTCATTTAACTACTACTGATAATCCTGTGTTTACGCACCAAGTCATCGATGAACGAAATTGTGGCACTACCACTGTATGACAAGTACGCGATTCGTACAGATGCTGCTGCTGCTGATTATGATGTAGAATAAGGCCGGAAACAGATCGGAATTGGTAGTGGGCTTTCGATGCATTCTTATGAATGTCAGTCTTCCATATAGAAGACAAACTCGAATCTCACTTTATCCAAGACCTCAAGTATTTTTCCACTGCTGTGTCAGTAGATCGAAAGCCATTTCTTCTATCCGGTTTGATTACAAAAAGTAAATGGCAGTTCCTCATGCCGTTCATAAGGTCGACGAAAATATTGGACGGCTAATCATCATTTTCACTCTTGGCGCTCATCTGAAAAGGCACCCAACCCCGCAGAGGACACGCCAATCGACAATTTGAGTTTGACTAATCTGCTTTGGATAGGCCAACATTTTATTAGGATCAAACCTCACTCCCAAATGAAATTTATTGATAACACAAACTAGTAGACAGACATGTAGTCTGCAATTTAAGGTAAGCAACGTATTCCATTCCTCTTTGTTACCAAATACTTTTCAATACGAATGAAAACGTCGGGATTTCGGAATGGATCATATTTGTATGGATATGGACGCCTCAACAACTTGATATTCACTAACAAAAACTGGCTACTCGTGTAAACAAATGTTTGAGTTTTGTTCATCTTATTCTGTACTGGTGTAAAATTTTACCTGTGATAAATTTCCATCAATGGGACTACCATCTCTCAGAGTTATTTTCGGACCATCCCGTCTGGGCTCAGATCAATCCATAAGCATCTTTCAGTGTATAAAGTTTAATTCAGGGGGGGCTGATTACTTACCAGAATACTCACGGTCTCGAGGTGGCTCAAGAGTTAAGCAGTGAACTTATTGCCAGGAAGGTCCGTGGTCGAAGCACAACCCTAGCCTCTCGACTGAAAGTATTTCAGCCCTCGTTCTTCCTACAGGTTGCATGGCAGATAGACACCAAAACAGTGTTACCACTGAACAGCTTCTATAAATTTTATTTAATGCTTGTTTGTACCATCTTAACGACTGATCAAATTCAATCAGGATTACTGTACATCTTCATGCCACTCAAAGAGAGAGCCGAACATAGACAAAGTCAAAGACCGAAGAGCAAAAGCAACTAAACACTGACAGTTTATATCGACCTGTCTTTAAAAATTGACATGCAAATTAGCATCTAGTGTGTTATTAATTTCGATGGTTCATTACCCCACTTGTCTTGCTCACCTGCCAAAAAAGGTGACACTGTGTTCCCAGGAGGATACTGGTTTGAGGGGAATGTGCGAAAGTAAGTCAAATCAATTTTCCCCGTAAAAATACGTGTTCCTGCAATACTCGCTGATAACTGATTCTCAATGAGATAGACGGAGCTGTAGACAACGTTAATAAAATTGGTCTCTATTACGCGAATAGAGGTTTTGTAGATAAAATAGTCATTAGTGTTTGGATGAGATGAATTGGGCGGGTTGATCCAATATGGACCACAAAATTACATTTCAAGAGCATGGGATGTGGTAACAGAAGTCGACAAATCTGGCAACGGCTCACAAACGAAGCTATCAAATACTCTTCGATTGATGACCGTCATTTGGTCGGGAATTCTCGACAGGTGAGTCATTCGACTAAAGCAAATAGAACAGTTATTTTGTCTTTTGAGCTGTACAGCTTAGCAAAGATGACGGTCAGACGACAGAATGGCTTTGAGGTCAGAGAAAAATAAATAGGTTCATTCTGACACAAGACATTTTTCTAGGCCTACACCCACTTGTGAGACCGGCGAACAAGGTTGCTCAGGGGATCGCATGAGATGTAATAAGGGAACCAGTGTCTTCCAATTTAACGGTTGTGTAAACATCAGGTGAACTGATGCAGTCATTCACGCACAGAGGACCGTTTTTGGTTTGGGTTCAATTGTGTGTTTGGTGATGGTGCAGCTTACCACAAAGATGGACGTATGTAATAAGAAAAGAGTTTTTTCAGGGGATGATAATTAAGGGACAGTGAACGAATGCAGAATGATTTAACGGGCGAATGTACTATTGAGATGTAACACAGCAACCTACAGTGCATTGTTCATCAAAAGCAGACCGGACTGTACAGTGGTGCGGTGTGGCGTATGTGCCACCCATGACCCAATGAACTATACTGGAAAGGAGCTGTCCATGAGACGCTTTCAGAATTTTTCATACAATGTTGGTTATTGGTTGGAGGTCTGGCCATCCAGATTGAGCAAACTTTTCTTTAAAAATATTGTTTCACTTGCGTTTCTCATTCTACGCCGCGGTTTTACGGTCAAGCTGTTGAGCGAATGGCTTTGTCTGAGGATCCTAATCGTTCTCCCGTCTGGATCTGGATCCCCTAGAAGTTTTTCAGCTCAAAATAAAACCATGCACTGTACACTTACAAATAAAATAATGAAACGTCGATCATCAAGTGGTGTCATCAGCCTGGTTGCTTCACTTGCTGCATGAAATGGCGGCTAAAGGAAAATACGTTACTGCTAACGTTTCCGTTCTTTCTGTTTTACATAAAATTTCTTTCTCTTCCCCCAACCCAGCACGTTCTTGTAGTCTTCTTGTAATCCCATTTGTTTAGTACTTACAAGCGCGTCCGTCTTGCAACGGTTTTAGACGCAACATCTGCGCCTCCATCATCGCCGCTGACTCAACCACCTTGAAATAAATCTCTGTATCTCCACACCTAGTTTATCTGGCCACCTTCAATGTCCACAGCTGATCAACAACCTGCTCTCCTTCTCACACTGGAATCTCTTGACGGTGATGTGCACCGTGTATCAGGAGAGAGAGTTCAAGATGCAAGCGCAGTGGATGATCTAGCCGTCGAATCACTCTCCAGCTGCTACCAGCTGCGCACCTCTGATGATTCAGAGTTCATTGCAGCAGGATATGCAGGCATAGGTCCGACCTTAACTGGATACCCGTTGATTCTCGTTGATAGTGGTACGTCAGGCAACATCTGTGAATTAGTCTCACAAGCGAGAAGTTGAGCACTGTCAGTTTGTTGTGATTGCTTACGTTCCAACAAACTATAACTGTGATACCATAGAAGACAAATTTTATTAGACCTTGAATGCCCTGTTATGTTGAAAATAAAACTCAGATGTCATTTTGGTCGCAGGTAATCTGAGTGCGCAAATGGGCAGAGTTGGTGCATCCGAAACTCACTTAGGCAGTCAACACCGGCAACAGCCAACAATGTTTCAGCTTTATTCAGACAGCTGGCTTTTTTGCATCAATATCTTCCGAATAAAAGATGTCGTCTGGCAAACGGTGTCTTTGAAAAGTCTACAAATCGCGAATTCGAAATGATCATATCGGCCTCATTTATCAACAGCGCGGATCAGTAACCGAATACAGCTATTTTTGTTAAAGATTGTGGTTGCCAACAACGCGTTTGTTTCGTGTACCTTCTCGTTTGCCTTTCAGGGTCGCATAAGGTGCGGACAACTGACAGGCAGGCAGATCAGGGAGTTACACGAAATTACCAGAATCGTCTTGTGGATGCCCTTCCAGCTGCTCCACCACTGGGTGTGAATTTGTGCTGGAGCAACGTCACCACTTCCTTGAACAGTTCCTGCAGTTTTGTCCGCGGCATTGCTCTACGAGGACCGCTTGAACACTGGATACCAAAGAGAACAGCGACACTGCTTGAATCTTGTCTGTCAGTACTAAACATAAATTGGCCTGAAGAATTGTCGGACATCTTGTGAAAGTAAGCGCGCGCACAGACTTGGAAGAGTGGTGGACATGGGATGTCTAGAAAATGGAAGTGGTCCAGAATGCAGGAATACCCAACGATCATTTTATTTGATCTATGCAAATGGCCCCTGGAAACCGTCTGTGAGCATAATCATCAGAAGTAAACGTAGCACGAACATTTTCAATAAAGGAGGAAGCCTCGACAGGTGAGCCAAACACCTTGAACAAACAATCATGTGGACAACTAATACCATTCATTTGGATACTGCGTCTGGAGTAGAACCCTGGAGGGTGAATCTGGAACCCCCTTCAACCTCGGACTTTTATGACTGCATATTTTCTCTTCAGAGCTGTCACCAAGTTCTGTTACGGGTGTTTCCCGATGAGCTGACCAGAGTCAACCTGTCCTTTGGCACGCACCTACAAAGTGCAAGGTCGTGCTTCTGAGCATCTATTTAATGAACATGTGGTATGGCTGTAAAAGGTATCCTCTTCAGGCAACGGAAATGAGATGTCATCAGGTCTTAGAACACAGTTGTCTCGGAAACGCAGCTAGTGTAGGCTGTTGTCAGCAAAGCGTTAACTAGAAATTTACAAAGCAAGTGTTCTGTTGTGTAACAGAGTCTTGTATTGAAAAATGTATGCAGCAACGAAAGCTATGGCTAATAGGATGTGCATTACGCATGCCGAATCATAGTTGCCATGCTCAGTTCTGAGTGGCACAAACAGAGAGATGGAAGAGGAGAATGAAAGAGAGCATCATAAAAATCTAGATGAGGTGGATATGACTCGCCTTTTATCACGCGGTGCCACGTAATTCCCGCTGTGCCTCATCATAAAAATCTAGATGAGGTGGATATGACTCGCCTTTTATCACGCGGGGCCACGTAGTCCCCGCCGTGCCAGGTTGAAGACGCCACAAGATGTGGCTGCTAATCGATATCAATTGTTTTTTAATTTTCACCCAGGTTGTCTGATTGAGTTTCTGGAGGTGAAGTCACCTCCGGATAATTGTGACGGCACTAAGTGTGGTGGAAACGAGTCCCTTCTTCACTCTCCTACTCGTCTTTTCAAAGTAAGGCTTCCAAATAAATTATCGTTATACACTATTGAGACATCCGTTTTTAACAACCGTGTCATGCTTCTAATAAGAGTATCATCCAGAGGGGTAATGAAGTTGCTGTACAATGAGCCTTCATGTTCCAGTACAGATCAACAAGAGGTTCCCAGATATAAAAAGTGTGACGGATGGTTCCAAATAGGTAATCCTAATGGATGGATTGAAAGACCATGTTAATCTGAGTGCGAAATTCTCAATATTAAATGACAGTCGAATTTCGTACCAATCCAACAGAAGCACTTAGGTGAATTAAGGCTAGCTCCGTGAATAATCTATGAAATTTTCTCTGCCAGTAGTGTACGGGTAAAGAAAAATCGTTTAGTTGAAAGAAGGTAAGTGCGCTTTTCTAGCCAAACATAAGTCCGTACGACAGCTGATATCTTACGGGTTGAGCTGTGGCCGAATATAATGAAATTCTGTCCATTGATGTTACGGTTGTTGGAATATAAGGAGGCCAAGAGTTCCAGACTGATTGATCTCAGTTTTCTATTAAATTATATTGTGTAGTTCTCCCATGCCCTTAAAAGGGAAGCCTTCCTTTTCGTTAGCATTACTCAAGCAGATATAAAACACCTTGCCTAGTGTGATTGGTCTCCTATATCATAAGTGAACAGTTATATGAATCGACGAGGAGAACTTAATCATTATCTGCGCGGTGCATAACTTGAAATGAAGTGAAACCGTCCAAAAATAAAGCGAATAATTGCTGATGCAACTTTCTCCAACTTGATGGATTAGTTCAGAGCCACAGTAGATATCAAGTCGTTTGAATCGACATATTGTACACTCATTCGCTATTTGGGGTATTGAAATTTCATTTTTCGGGAAAAGGGATTAATTCACTCACGTGACAGGCAAATCACGACTCGGACAGTATAGAGATATTGCACGTCGTTCAGAGCCACAGTAGATATCAAGTCGTTTGAATCGACATATTGTACACTCATTCGCTATTTGGGGTATTGAAATTTCATTTTTCGGGAAAAGGGATTAATTCACTCACGTGACAGGCAAATCACGACTCGGACAGTATAGAGATAATTGCACGTCCTTACTGGTCGATTGATTTTTATCATGTGGCTGAACTGCGTAGCTCACGTGTTTACTCTGGGTGGTTTTGGTATTTGGTGATAGCTGTTCATAGGATGAACAGTCAGTCATCTAAACACTGGTACCTTAACGAATTCACTATGACTTATGCCGAACGAGCGCGACAAGGAAATGACAATAACCGTGAGTTCATCTTTAAGTAAGTGGGAGAAAATTTGACGAACTATAGCGTCGTTTGAACCAACTAATGAAGGCAGAATAACTGCGCCTGATGGAAGCACGTTTGTAACACGTTAAGCGCACCCTTACATCAAGACAAATTTGCAGAAGATATTCGATTCGACTGCAACAAAATCCGTCGATGTTCTTGATTTCATTTAGTGCCACCATTTTGAAAAAAATATTAGTGGAAAACGGTTTCTCCCCTCTGCCTGATCGTGATTCAGTTTGATTTTTTCGCTGCCACAAAATTTTGTAAGAATTTTACAGCCGCAGAAGCAAAGCATACACTACTCTAGCAGAAGAAAGATACTTCTGGCGCGTTGAGGCTCGGAACTCCATGGTGGTTGAGCGCTTTTACATAAATTTTATCAGACGTAAACCTGAGACTATGGAGTAATTTTGAAAGTTTTGGGGAAAAGACTGTGGCTGTGTGCAAGCTGAATAACCTGAAAAGGTGAAAACCACTTCTTTCGTGTTCTGACCGAGGATTTGACAGGATCAGTCAAAGTTGTTCGTGTCACGTGGGAGAGTTTTAAATTTACACTTTCGCCCCATCCTTACTATAGGCCGAAATCGCACAACGGTTGGTAAGTAAAATACCCCTAGACCATTGACGTAGATGACTAGGATAGTTTACATTATGTGGCTATATTAGGAGATCCGTGTTTCTCGAGGAGGCCATGGGAAGCTGTGGATGGCCTACACTATTGCTCGCCGAGACCAAGCGATTGGGCATGATAGACGTTTGCCCATCAGGGGTGTTATTTTGTTCACTTGGCAACGGTTGTTTTGTTCCTCACATTGCTGAATCCATTTTTCCTCCATGACCATCCAAGACACAGCATTCGTGCATACAACAGGTAGCGAAATGTGCTCGCCCCTGAAACAACCCATCGGTTGTTTACAGGCTTTTGCTGTTATTAGATTAGTCCGTTTTTTCAGTGGGCATTTTACGGTTTGTATGTAGTGAGTGGTTTTGCAGGTTTCGGCCAAGATTTAGTCCTTAAACTGAAGCCGGTCTCAGCGGAAAAGTAAATAAACGCCGAGCAGTTTTTCAACACTTCCAGGACTCGTCATTGGTGTGTATCTGGCGCACTTCCATGGAGAGCCGCAACAGGAGGGAGGAAGTTATGCGGCGTTTCACAGAATAGAGTTACAGTACTGACACAAGCGGAATAGAAAAAGATGGTATTTTAGCTCAGTGTTTTCTCCGCTTCCTTCGGTTTGTCTACCTAAAAGAATCCTTAATGGAGCAGTTACAATCGTTCTGTATCACGTTAGGATGAAAACTAGCCTGAATTTATCATCAAAACAATGGTGTGCGTTGACAATATGTATAGTTGCAGGCCGACAAGCCAAATGTTGCAGCAGAACCTTGGCCTCAAGAATCAGACATGCCAGAGTCAAACCCTACTGTGAATATTCACTGAAACTTGATATGTCAAGTTTTCAACTAAATCTTTTTATTGAAGTCAGCGTGACCTTCTACATTTCAGGATAAATTGCATGGGATCACAGTCTCCTTTCTGGTGGACAGAAGCCACTCGTAGCACACCAAACACTCATTTTAGCTAGAATGCTCTTGTTCACAAATTTTACCTAAAGCTAACCAACGTGAAAATACGATATCGAGATTTTCGTGAACAGCCGTTTCACTCTCGTGGTAGTCGAAGAGTAAACGGTGCCCGATACGAAACGTCTCAAATCTAGTGGTTTGTTGGTTGCTTGTCGGACGACACCCCAACTGCTAGTATTCTGATATATTGCCAAGAGTACTCTATATGAAGACTATCCCCGTTAGGGGTATGAAAGACCATGCCAATATACAATGTAACGTATTTCCACCTTGCTCACAAGGAAACGCATGCAAGAACGGTGGAAAATTGTCACAATGAGACCGATATGTTGTCGAGAGTATCACCAACCCTGCAATATGGCTAATCATCGCCTGATTGCGGGAGTTTATCAATGAAAAGAAACTGCAAAAGACAACCACAAGGAACAAGCTTTTGTCGGGTAGATTAATAGGCATCCTTTGGTATGCACTTTGCACCTACAAAGTGTAAGGTCATGCTTGTGGACGTGCAGTTACTGAACAGCCACTTACAATCCAGGGAGAGGTACTGGAAGTTGTGGAGCGCTTTACGTATCTCGGAAGTTGTATTAGTTCTGACTGTAGTGTGACAGCTGAGATGAATGCACTAATCTGCAAGGCCGGGGCCGCATTTGCTAACTCGAGAAACCCATGGCGTCAGAATTGTTTATCCTTGAATCTGAAGGGTTGTGTGTATCACGCTACAGTACGGGCTGTTTTGTTGTATGGCTGTGAGATATATATATATATATATAAGACCGCCAAAGTAAAATTTAACTGAACCTTCGGTTGTATGACAATAAGAAATATCCACTTGTGATTCAATTAAGTTTTCCCGTTAATGTCATCCCAACGTGCAGGCTGGTGTTTACTCAATTAGGAAATAAGTTTAATGGGATTTTGCCGACCGGGATCTCCAAATAAGCCCCAACAAGCGAGAATTTGATAGTAGGATTTTCCACCGACCCTATGACCGATGTTATGTCAACAGAACCTTTGTACTATTCTTGTGATGTGTTAGCTGAGGTTGGGAGTAGTCGCAGGGTCTCAAAGAGAATCTTGTACGTGTAGCTTAAGGAGAGCTTTCTTTTTTACGTGGCCGGAAAAATTTCACGAGAACATAGGTTTCTTTTACTTTAGTGAGTTGCATCCTAACTCTGTTCAACTGAAACTGGTTCCAACTGAGACTTTGACCAACCTACTTTATCGTACTGAGTAATGTAACTCGTATCTGATGTCGTTCAACTAGCAAACAATGGCGATGTCGATGAAGGGGAGAAATGGCCAAGGCGTTGCTTACGATGAAAGATGAAAAAGATATTGGTGATCATCACCAGGTATACCTGTCACACAGCTACTACCTGATATGGTGAAGTTGAGCTGATCCGTATTATTAGTGAGCCCTACCCTTAATTGATAATTCCAAATAGGCTGTCTTTTTATACAAATGGTATGATTGACATGCCAGTACATACGTGTGTTTTGTGACAGTGAATATAGACGCAAAAAGCGTGACCAAGTCAGATTTACCAGGTTTAGGGGTGGTTCTAATCTCCCATTTGAGATTGTATCAAAAACAGTGGCCAGAGGCAGCAGTGCAACGCCCACCTCGATGGTTGCTGAAGCATGAGCAAGTGCAGTGAGACGAACGACACACGCACATGCACACACAAGGAATGCGTCGACAGTTGTGTTAACTATGGTCCACCAGGGTGTAGCAGACGATAGGACCTAATCCTTGCAGAATTCTGGAGCGGGATGTTGGCTTTCTTGAGACTCACGCACATACACACACACACACGAAAAGGAAACGTCAGTCGTATGCAT